GGACGCCGTTCGCGCACCCCCGCAAAACTTCGTTGGCCAGGTTACATGGTCGACCATAGGAGGCCACCGACGTCCACAAGTCGGCGGCCCCCCAAGTCGGCGTCATGTCGACGAACACCTTCGTCGGCGGCCGACTTCACCTCGTCGACCAACGACTTGGCTGACTTCGCCGAATTCGGCTCCGCTGTAGCGGACTTCCTCCAAGTCGGCGCACCATCGAAGTCGCCTAACCACGCTGTTGGCATTCCTGTTCCAACGAATTCACCGTCGCATAAGCCGACTTCACCAAAGTCGGCTAACCCGTAGGCCGACGAACCCCTTCGTCGACCACACCAGTCGAAGTCAGCCGCCGACTTCCCATTGTCGGCGGCTTCACAGTGATCCCCCGCAGGCCGACCAAACTTGTCGACCTGCTCACCCAAGCTGGTGTCGACCACTGCGGATGGTCGGCTGCACTTCCTGCGCACCCGACCACGAAGTCAGCTTCGCCCAAGCGAGGGCGAGGCCAACTCCCATCAACACTCCCCTGACGCGCTCACTCTTGGGCACCCCATACACTACAGTCGCCCCGAACCCAAGGGATGGAATGCACGGAGAAAAACTCGTCGTCTGCGGCGTGCACACAACACACAACACGCCGGTCAACGCACCAGCCGTGTAGAAGGGCACGGCACCTACTGCTGCATGTCATCATCACTATCGCCGACGTAGGCCAGACGCACTTGGTCGATCGCCACGGAGCACCGTTTGAAGGCCGGAGATTGCAGCGCTTTCGACAGGAAGTCGGTCGGCTGCTCGGTGGTCGGGATGTACCGCAGTACAAACTTCCCGCGCTTCACCATCTGCTGCAGCCAGACATATCGCCGCTCCATGTGCTTGAGGTTGCCCTTCAGCCCCAAGCCTTCGGCGCCCGTGATGGCCGACTTGTTGTCCACACGAAGGATATTCGGCGTCCCAGCGTCCAGCAGCTAGAACTCGGCAAGGAGGAAATGAAGTCGGCGTACCTCCTTGCCGGCTTCGGTGGCCGCGACGTACTCCGACTCGGTCGACGAGAGTGTCGCGCACTTGATGCGCTGGCTCGTCCAGGAGACGACGGCCCCGCCGAAGACGAACCCATAGCCGCCTGTGCTCGTACGTGCTTGTAGCCGGCATCGTCGGCGTCCACGTAGCTGGCGTCGTCAGCGACTCTGGTCAGCCGCCGAACTCCAAGGCGGCGGCACGGGTGTCGCCGAGGTAGGCGGGGCGGCGGTTGACCTCACGCCAACGCTGGTCACTCCTCACCGTCAGGCCGCTCCCCAGCTTGCTGCACTCGAAGGCAATGTCCGGCCTCGTCGTCGTTGCCGCGAACTGCAGCAAGCCGACCTTCTACCGGTACTCCTAATCCTCGCGCGACTGAGCCTCCTCGTTGTCAAATGTGAGCTTGCCGTAGGCGTCGACGGAGACCGGCGTCTTCGGGATTCGACCACCATGCTCCTCGTCGATGAAGCGCCGATGTAGCTTGTCGACGTAGGTCTGCTGGTGGAGCCACAACTTCCATGCCAGCCAGTCGCCCACGATCTCCATCCAAAGGTACTTATCGACCAGCAAGATCTCGCGCAGCTCAAAGGCAGCCTCCAGCAGCTCCTTCAGCATCGCGGCACTGTAGCTGGCGGCGAGCAGGTTGTCGACGTAGGCGAGCACCTAGCACGTCACACCGTCATCACCGACCTTGAAGTAGAGAGCCTCGTCGACCTGGCTCTTGCTCCAGCCGACGCCGGTCAGCACAACAGTTGCGACTGCTTCAGCCTGTACATGCTCTTCAGCACCTTGCACACCCGACTGGTCCCGTCGTCGTAGTAGTCAGGATGGTAAATGTACAACACCCGGTCGAGCTTGCTCTGCAGGAAGGCGTTCTTCATGTCAAGCTGCATCAGTTTCAGGTCGAGAAAGGGGACGATGCTGAGGAAGATCCTCAGCGTGACGTAGCTGCCGACCGGCGCGTACGTCTTGTTGTAGTCGGCGCCGTAAACCTGTGTGAAGCCATTCATGACCAGGCGTGCCTTCTCGTGGGCGACCGTGTCGTGATGTGGTACTTCGTCATCAACACCCACCGGTTCTTCATGATGTTGACACCGCGCGGCCGCTCAACCAGCTCCCAAGTGTCGTTGGCGATGAGGCTGCAGATCCCCTCGTCTATGGCGGCCTTCACCGCCTTGCCCTTCCAGCTCGCCAACGCCCCCTTCACCGTCATCGTCGCGATGTCCCAGCGGTGCTCAGGGTCGGCGTGCACGTCGTCGAGCTTTGGCAAGTCGACGTCGGCCTGCGCGTCGTCGTGTAACGGGGTGAGGGCGGCCGGCGGCAGGCAGGCGTGGTAGCTCAGCCGCTCAGGAGCCTTTCGGAGCCGGCCTAAGCGTCGCGGTCCAGGCGGGACCTCCACCACATCGCTGTCGGTGGAGTCCTCGCCCTCCGACCGCTCCCCTTCATCGACGCCAGCTTCACTGTCCTCACCAGCCTGCTGCACCAAAGTCGGTTGCTCGGCCGACTTCTCCCCTGTCGTCGGCTCCCCTGTCGACTGTCCTGTCGCCGACATCTCCCCTATCGCCTTCACTGCCCGCTGCTCCCCTGTCATCGCCGGCTTCCCTACGCCGACATGCTTGACGTCACGTCGGCCGCCTGCGATGCCACTGGGCGTCGTCGTCGGCTTCCCTCCCGAGCGTCGTCGGCTTCCCTCTCACGTCGTAACAACCTCTTTCATTCCTGGGCGTAGCAGTTTCTGGCGCGCTTGATGGCTCCACTGGGGTTGGCGCAGTGCTGGTACTGCTGACGTGACAGTCTCTTTGTGAGGAAATCGGCCGCCATGTCACCAGGTGGGCAATACGACAAGTCAGCCTTCCCCTTGTCAAGTTCGTCCTTGACGAAGAACTATCGCAGCACGATGTGCTTTGTGCAGTTGACGAAACCAGGTTTGTTTGCGATTTTGATCACGCTCTGGTTGTCACAGTGGAGGCGGGAGGTTGGCGATGTCGCAATTTTCGCCTCCTACAAGAGTTCCTGGCAGCACTCTCCTCTCGTTCACTACGGCTCTGTTTTCGAAGATCCAGGTGTTGCTCCTGCCGCGACTGGAGCTGGTGTGCTCGCTGTTGCCGCGCCTGCAGAGGCTGCGCTTGCGCTTAGTCTTTAGAAAGCTCACCTAAGAAGCTGGAGTTTGTTAGTAGCTGGAATTGTGGGGAGAAGTCGGAATTTACGGGAGTTGTTGGAGTGGCAAGAGGACAGCAGCGAGAAAGGGAACTAACAAACCCTAACTGGCTTTGATTCTCGTAAAAAACACAATGATCTCACAACTTTCAAGGGAGGACTCACTCTTACCTGTTTAGCAAATTGTTTACATCCCGTTTTCTGATCCTGTGGTCCAGGTTTCGAAAGTACAGCGTTACTTCTAAAACTACCATGATTTTCAGTACAACAGTGTGACGCAGAGTGTTGCAAGGCGCTTTTACTTTACGCTATGACTACGCTTACTTAGTGTCATATACAGGGCCTCAGATTCGTTTGGGGGTACACTGAGGCCTCAGGGCAGTTTTTAGGAAATCAGAATTTGCCCTGAATTGGCAGGGCTGCACAGGGTGAGGTATCCTGAAATGCCAGTGCTACATTTAGTAGTATCCATATATTTTTTGTGCTACAACTAGCGATAGGTGAAGTGTCGTAGCGGGTTAAAACCGGGGTGCACATTCAGCTGAATGTGCATCAAAGGTTATCCCTTGACTGAGTGGGTTACGAGGTGTGCTTTCAACCCCTTCAAGTCGAAATTCGTTTCCCCCCTCCCCCGCAATTTCGTTTCCCCACGCCCCCGCAATTTCATTTCCCCCTCCCCGTCGAAATTCGTTTCCCCCCTCCCCCGCAATTTTGTTTCCCCCCTCCCCCGCAATTTCGTTTCCCCCCCCTCCCGCCAATCTGTTTCATCCCTCCCGCCATTCGGTTTCACCCACTCCCGCCATTTCACCCCCTCCCGCCACCTACGAAATGCCCGAAGCTCTAGCGGAATCATTTTTTTGTCGCCCCTCGTGAGCCAATCACTGTTTTTCTCCAAACCCCCTTCCCAACATCTCAAGCCGAACCGCGTTGAATGTGCACCCTGGTTTTAAGTGACAATGCGATACATTAAAGGTCTCCTGCTCGATTCCCGCTCGCTCCTATGTGGAGGTGCTCGCCGGTTCTTATTTTAGGCCCCAAGACCCAGGAGATTTTTCTTACAGTACATCTCGCCTCAGAGCGAGATTCGACACTATCCTGACTCATCAGAGCTGAACCTACAGCCTTATCCTGAGTTTTCAGTACGCAAAATAACCGTTATACTGAAATTGCAGGACAATTATTCCTGTTATGCTGTTTTTCCAGGACTAGCACACGACACCTATCCTGAATTCAGGAGAATCAGGATAAATTATCCTGATAACTGAGGCCCTGGTGATATAGAGTGTTTCCTGTACACAAGCACATGCCCCTGAAGCTCCCTATCAACAGGAAAATGTGCGTGAAAGAATCGCTTTACCTGCAAGACGGACAAACACACCATGGGGTCGGATTCAATCAATTGCTATATCCAGCTCATGCGTTCAAGACAACAGTTGGGATTTGATTCATTATCCACTTCAAGTTCTGCAAAGCAATATGAAAACTGTGTCCATGAATTGGAGGTGCCCGGGAGTCAAAGGTGCCAGACTCTATGTAATGCTCATGAAGAACACATACTACCTCAGTGTAGCCAACACATGAAGAACACATACTACCTCAGTGTAGCCAACACATGAAGAACACATACTACCTCAGTGTAGCCAACACATGAAGAACACATACTACCTCAGTGTAGCCAACACATGAAGAACACATACCTCAGTGTAGCCAACACATGAAGAACACATACCTCCGTGTAGCCAACACATGAAGAACACATACCTCCGTGTAGCCAACACATGAAGAACACATACCTCAGTGTAGCCAACACACGAAGAACACATACCTCAGTGTAGCCAACACACGAAGAACACATACCTCCGTGTAGCCAACACATGAAGAACACATACCTCCGTGTAGCCGGCGCACTGCAGAAACGGCTTCAACCGCTTCTCCTCCGAGTCGAATGCCACCACCACTTCCGGCAGTTCCCTGCACCCCACTCCAACCCACCCCACTCCATCCAACCCTTGAGACCCTTCACACCCTTGAGACCCTTCACACCCTTGAGACCCTTCACAACCTTGAGACCCTTCACACCCTTGAGACCCTTCACACCCTTGAGACCCTTCAAACCCTTGAGACCCTTCACACCCTTGAGACCCTTCACACCCTTGAGACCCTTCAAACCCTTGAGACCCTTCACACCCTTGAGACCCTTCACACCCTTGAGACCCTTCAAACCCTTGAGAACCTTCAAACCCTTGAGACCCTTCACACCCTTGAGACGTTTCAAACCCTTCAAATCCTTTTGAAGAACTTTCCTTCTCCTCCGTGTTGAGTGCCTTTGGAGGAGACTCAAAAGTCTCCTCCGTGTTGACTGCTGCCACCACTTCTGTCTCCTCCCTGCACCTGGCTCTATCCAACCCAGGAGAGGGAGCCTCTTTCGGCCTCAAAGAACCCTCCTTCTCTTTCTTATCTGAACGCGTGCCTCTTGCATTCGAGCCTGCTTGACGAGTGCCGCACTCGTTTAGATAAGCATCGCCTCTTGCATTCGAGCCTGCTTGACGAGTGCCGCACTCGTTTAGATAAGCATCGCCTCTTGCATTCGAGCCTGCTTGACGAGTGCCGCACTCGTTTAGATAAGCATCGCCTCTTGCATTCGAGCCGGCTTCACGGGTGCTACACTGGTTCACATGAGCATCTGCTCTTGCATTCGAATCTACAGAAGCTGCTTTCTGTGCTCCCCGCCTCCTTTCTTCTGAACTAGCAGCCGCACACCCGCCCTCTCCACGCCCTCCAACCCATGCAGCAGCAGCCACACATGTACCCTCTCCACGCTCTCCTTGGGCGGAATCGCCAGCATGCTCCGTTGTCCCGCTGCTGCTGCTGCTTCTGCACGTGGTGGGGCTGGCAGCATGGCAATCAGCTGTAGCGTCGCAAGCAGGATGAGATTCGGCTGTAGTGTCGCAAGCAGGATGAGATTCGGCTGTAGCACGGTGAGCAGCAGCAGCTGCTGCAGCGCCATGGCTCAGGCCCATCATGCATGCATGAACAGCTGGATGGATGGTGTAGCGGGATGTGAGGAACGCACGTGGGTCTGCTAGTAGATCTTCAAACTCCCTTTCACGAGACACGGTGATGGTGCCGTTGGGATGGGCTGGAGGGAGGGGATGGGGATGGGGATGGGGTGTAGTGGGATGTGAGGGGAGCATGTGGGACTGCCAGCAGACCTTCGAATTCGCTTTCACGAGACATGGTGATGGTGGCGTTGGGATGGGCTGTTGGGATGGGCTGTTGGGATGGGCTGGACAGGAGAGGAGGGGATGGGGAGAGAAACGAGGGGAAGGAAAGGACTGCAGAGCGGTGTAGTGGGATGTGAGGAAGGCATGTGGGTTGGCTAGCCGGTTTTAAAACTCCCTATCACGAGACATGGTGATGGTGCCGCTGGGATGGGCTGGAGGGAGGGGATGTGGGACTGGTGATGTGGGGCAGATATTTGAACTCCCTTTCACGAGACAGGGTGATGGTGCCGCTGGGAATGGATGGATAGGGGAGATGAAGGAGGAAGCGGCAGAGAGTAAAGAGTTGGGAAAGATGGACAAGCGATGGAGGCAATAATTTTGAGGCGCCTAAAAAATCGAGAGATGGACGAGCGTGGGAGGCAATAAGTCATGTAGGAGCCATGATATACGAGGTGTATGCAGGTGATGGTACCGCTGGGATGGGATGGACAGGGGACAGGGCGTTAGGCAGGAGGAAGTGGCAGAGAGGGTCGAGATCTGGGAGAGGGAGTGGGATAGACAGACGAGCGTGGGAGGCAATACGGCTTGTAGGAGCCATGATATGCAGTGACTTTTGAGTCGACTCAAGAGCCGTGACATGCGAGGTGTAGGCACGTCTGCGGCAAGAGACTAAGAGGCAAGAGGCAAGGGACAAGAGGCAAGAGGCAAGAGGCAAGGGACAAGGGGCAAGAGGCAAGAGGCAAGGGACAAGAGGCAAGAGGCAAGGGACAAGAGGCAAGAGGCAAGAGGCAAGGGACAAGAGGCAAGAGGCAAGGGACACGAGAATAGAGGCTTACATGTGAGGATGGGTGTGCATGAGAGCATGGTGAGTGTGACTGCAGGGTGGTGGAGGTGGGAGTGGAAGGGCGTGGAGTGGCATGGCATCAGAAACAACACCTCCACCCTCCCCTCCCTCACTCCTCCCCTCCCCTCAAATTCTCCTCCCCTCCCCTCGTCCCTCGATGGTGTTACACGGGCCTGCAGGTTAGTGTTGATTTGTTTTTTAGTCGACTCAAAAACAGCCTCGTCCCTCGATGGTGGTCCACGGGCCTGCAGGATGGTGTTGATTTCTGTCTCTAGGAAGGGCATGACAGCGATGGTGCCTCGCTGGTGGGTGGTGGAGAGGTAGAGAGCAGCGAGGAGCTGGGGGAGGAAGGCTGCTACTAGGAGCAGGCGGAAATGGGGGGAGTGTGGGGGGAGTAAGGGGGAGAGGAAGGCGCACCATGATTGGGTTGTTGGGCTGGAATGGGATGGATGGGGCGTTTGGGATGGATGGGGCGTTTGGGATGGATGGGGCGTTTGGGATGGATGGGGCGTTTGGGATGGATGGGGCGTTTGGGAGGAGTTCAACGTTTGACGGGTTTGAGGCGATTGAAGCAGCCTGTTGCCGCTGTCAGTGGTGGTGGTGGTGGTGGTGAGTCGTGAGTGCAGGAGAGAGAGGGCGAGACCAGTGTACGTGTTGAGGAGAGGGAGCGAGAGCAGGATGAAGCTGCGAAGGAGGGGGGCGTCGGAGCAGAAACAAGGGGGGTGGAGAGAGAAGGAGTGTGGGAAGGGGGGGAGACACGGGTTGGCTAGGGAATGCCACCCAGAGCAATCCTCATGAGCAAAAACTGTCGGGGCGAAACAAGGAAGAAAAGGAAAAGGGTGAACAAGATAAAACCGTGAAACTACACCACTGTACTCCAGCATTTGCTAACGGAAGTGGAGAAGCTGGCAAGTGATTCACTGACTCACTCGCCGGTGCTCTTATCACTCCTCTTCACACACACTCGCTGGTGCTCTTATCACTCCTCTTCACACACACTCGCTGGTGCTCTTATCACTCCTCTTCACACACACTCACCGGTGCTCTTATCACTCCTCTTCACACACACTCACCGGTGCTCCTTGTGATCGGAGAGGGAGTAGAAGAGAGGCAGCCAGAGGGCCAGCAGGAAGGGCAGGCGCACAGACCACCACACGAGGCCCTCATGCAGGCGCTGCAGCAAATGGTGATGATGGTGATGATGCTGGGAGTTGTTTTCGTGTTCATGACGAGGTGGGTTGTCGTGGGGGGAGGAACGGAGGGAGGAGCACCAGAGGAGGCCTAGGCAGGCGAGGGGGAAGAAGGTGCCGTGCATGGCTATGAGGCCCTGGGGGGTGAGAAGGGGTGCAGGAGGGTGTAGAAGGGTGTAGAGGGTCCGGGTTTGAAATTCATGAGAGGGTATGAGGTTAAATGCAGGCGAGGGGGAAGAAGGTGCCGTGCATGGCTATGAGGCCCTGGGGGGATGAGGCGGCGTGCAGAAGGGTGTAGAAGGGTGTGGAATGGTGGGACGAGAATCGTAAGGGGGAGTGAGGGTGAATGTATGTGAGGGGGAAGAAGGTTCTGTGCATGGTTATGAAGCCCTGGGCGGGATGAGGCAGGGGTGCACGAAGGTGTAGAGGGGTGTAAAAGGGTGTAGAAATATCCCCCCCCAAAAGCACATATCCGCATGGTGCATGCACGCAAGCACCCACACACACCTAAGACAGCCCCCCGTCTGCGGACATTCCCAGACTCCTACCTGCGACCTGCGGTTGAGAGCGATCAAGAGCATTCCCACACTCCTACCTGCGACCAGTACCAGTGCCAGGGGTTGCTGCCATAGAGACTGGACCCCTTGAGATGCACGTTGAAATGTAAGAGGTTGAGAGGGGTGATGAGCATTGAAGGGACACTCACACGCTTACCGAAAAATACACACCCAGCTGCGACTAGTACCAGTGCCAGGGGTTGCTGCCATAGAGAGTGCACCCCTTGAGATGCACGTTGAAACGAAGGAGATTCAGAGGAGAGGGGTGGAAAGAGCATAGGCCAGCCACATCCTCCCTGCAAAGCACATACCCGCACGGAGCAAGCATGCGCTCCTCCTATGTACACACATGCAGACAAGCACCACAACCTGCGACCTGCGGTTGAGAGCGATCAAGAGCATTCCCACACTCCTACCTGCGACCAGTACCAGTGCCAGGGGTTGCTGCCATACAGACTGGACCCCTTGAGATGCACGTTGAAATGTAAGAGGTTGAGAGGGGTGAACACCACTGGCCGGCCATACTGCCAGCTGTCGACAGCCACTGTGATGGCGACAGCTGTCAGGCTGGCGGCAGGGATGGGGACGGGAGGGAGCGCAATAGGAGAGAGAGGGGAGCGGCATTGAAGGGGAGCGAGGAGCGATGGTTAGGGGGTAAACCGTAAATGGAGGGGGGATGGGGACATCATGAGATGGCCTTTGGGAGTTGGAGGAGGTGGAGGCAGGAGGGACGGAGGAGAGTTACTGGGAGCAATCAGTCAGTAGCAGCACAGGCCGTCCAACAGACAGCACCTGTACCAGCAGCAGCAGCCGCAGCCATTCCACCTGACATTCCATTCCCACCTGACATTCCATTCCCACCTGACATTCCATTCCCACCTGACATTCGGCACATCAGCCAATAGCAGCACAAGCAGTGAATCACATCTCTCTCACACACACACACACACACACGCACGCACGCACGCACGCACACGCACACGCACACGCACACGCACACGCACACGCACACGCACACACACACACACACACACACACACACACACACACACATATAACAGAAACGGCCAGAGGGGCACTTTCACAGCGGCAAGGCTCACCAAGGCTCACCTGATAGGCAGCACTTATAGCCCCAGCAGCCACACCCACTCCCATCTACCCCTGCTGCTGTTCAGCGCCCCTTCCACCAGCAGCAGCAGCGCGAGCTCGTGCAGACCCAGGAGCAACCAGAAGGGCGTGCAGGTGGGGCGAACCCCCCAAGGCAACGATGCACACACAAGACAAAGACGCCCAGAGGGCGACTTTCACAGGGGCAAAAGTCAAAAGGCTCACCCGATAGGCAGCACTTCCAGCTGATGAAGAAGGCAAAAGGCAAAAGGCTCACCCGATAGGCAGCACTTCCAGCTGATGAAGAAGGCAAAAGGCAAAAGGCTCACCCGATAGGCAGCACTTCCAGCAACAGCAGCCGCACCCATTCCCATCGGCCCTTCCCTTTCTTCAGCCCCCACTCCAGCAGCAGCAGGGAGAGCTCGTGCAGGCCCAGGGGCAGCCAGAAGGGCGTGCTGGTGGGGCGAACCATGCACGCTGCTGCTGCCAAGACCAGGGCCAGTGGCCGGTTGGTGCCAGTAGAGGGAGAGAGCACGTCAGCTATGGAGGTTTGGCCTCCTCTCCCCTGCTCAGTATCTTTCCTTCCGCCTTCAGTGCGCTCCTGAGTGCCCTTGCTGCCCCCTTGTGCGCCCTCACTGCCCCCTTGTGCGCCCTCATTGCCCCCCTGTGCGCCCTCACTGCCCCCCAGTGCGCCCTCACTGCCCCCCTTTGCGGCCTCAGTGCGCCCCTCAGCGCCCTCAGTGCCCCCTTGGCAATGGCGCCAGGGCCAGTAGGAGAGGGCGATGACAGCGAGGGATGCCTCGAGGGAGTTGGAGAAGGTGCGTGTGGCGCAGAAGAGGAGGAACCAGCAGGTGAGATTGCAGGCGAGCTGACGCGGGGAGGAGGGGACGGGCGAGGGGAGGAGGGTGAGAAGGGAAGGGGCGAGGAGCGCATGTGGGCAAAGGGAGCATCAGTTGGAGAAGGCGCGAGTGGCGCAGAAGAGGAGGAACCAGCAGGTGAGATTGCAGGCGAGCCGAGGGGGGGAGGAGGGGAGGGGTGAGGGGAGGAGGGTGAGAGGGGGTGAGGGGTGCATGTGGGAAAACAAAGCATCAGTTGGAGAAGGTGAGTGTGGATCAGAAGGAGAGGAACCAGCAGGTGAGGTTGCAGGCGAGCTGGCGGGGAGGGGTAGGGAAGGGGCAAGAGGGGGCAAGGAAAGGGGTGAATTCAGTACGACTGCCCTTGTTGTTGCAGGGGATTTTTGAGGCGCCTCAAAAATCGTCTTTTGAGGCGCCTCAAAAATCGACTGCCCTTGCTGTAGCAGGGTGGGATTCAGTGGACTTGCACCTTAAGTCAGCATGGAGAAAAAGTGGGCAGGGCGAGAATGATAAGGATCTTGTCTGCTGAAATGACAGGGGGGAAATAGTGCTGCTGCTGCTACTGCTGGAGAAAGAGAGCATCGGATGGAGAAAGCGCGTGTGGCGCAGAAGAGGAGGAACCAGTATATCTTTTAGGAACCTCAACAAAAATAGGTGCGTGTGGCGCAGAAGTGGAGGAACCAGCAGGTCAGGTTGCAGGCGAGAGTGGGGGGGAGTGGGGGAGGGGCGGGGAGAAGGGCGCATGTACTGGAGAAGGTGCGGGTGGGGGCTGAGGATCAGGAAGGAGACGCACAGCTTGCAGGTTCTAAATCACTGTGCATGCAGCGGCAGAGAGGTGAATGTGGGGAAAGGGAGCATCGGATGGAGAAGGTGGGTTTAGGGCTGCAGAGGAGGAACCAGCAGAGCAGCAAAGCTTGTAGTTTTCAGCTCACCACCCATGCAGTGGCAGAGGGGTGAGCGAGAAAGAGCCTGTGAGTGAGCGTGTAATGACGCAGATCCCCCAGTGCTGCTAGCTATGGCGGCCTAAATTGTTGCACCTCGAGGAGTGGCGTTATGATGTGATGAATCACTTCTCGGGCCTCAACTCACCGCCCATGCAGCAGCGGAGGGGTGCGAAGGGAAGAGCCTCTGAGTGAGCACGTAAAGACGCAGATCCGCCAGTGCGGCCATGGATGCCTGGATGAACCGCGGCGAGTGGCGCTGGTGAGGGAGAGGGGGGGGAAGAGGCGAGATGGTCCGAGTAGAATGGAGAATAACGATATGGAGAAGGAAAGAAAAGACGAGGGAGCAAGAGAGAAGCGAGGAGAGAGAGCAGATGGGTTGGGGGAGAGAGAGTTGATGGGTTGGGGGAGAGAGAGCGAGCAGTTACTGCAACAAGGCTGGTGGGGAGTGGAGTGCTGCAATGGTAGCAGAGCCAGCAGGTGGTAACTAGCATGTGGTAACCAGCAGGTGGTAACCAGCAAATGAAGGGAGCAACTGAGTGCAGTGCTTATCATGCCTTTATTCAAGTGCATAAGAGAAGGAAACACTCACAACGAGCCAGGGCGTGTCGCAGCGTAAGAGGGCGAGCAGGAGGTAACCAGCGGCGAAGAGCAGCGGGTGGAGGAAGGAGCGAGCCGCCCACTCAGGCCGCCACTCCCACGTGAGATAGCCGTAGCTTGAGGGGAGCAATGAAGAGAGAGGAGGGGCGCAAAGGAGAGGAGGAGGAGGGCGGTCTCAGAGGTGAGGGAAAGGGCACGTTGATGCAGGAAGGTGAGGGGAAGCGAGGCAGGAGAAGAATGGAAGAGAGGAGGGAGGATGACTGGAACAGCCAGCTACATTCCACTGCTTGATGAAATGATACAATGACAAAACAATCACAGCAAAAGTGGATCACTGAATCACTTCTTTTCTTCCATCCAAACACCATCCTGTTCACCACCTCTGGTCCCTGCCGGAATTCGGTCGGGTTGAAACCAAATAACAGCGTCGACCCATACCATACCAGTCACTCTGATGCAACTACCCGAGACATCAAAACTCACCCGAACACCATCCGGTGTGCCACCTCGGGTCCCTGCCAGAACTCGTCCGGGTTAAAATAGGTCTGCACTGCCACACTGTTGAGTAACCTGCGGCCAGGAAGGCAGGAAGGGGGAAACAGGATGGGGGGGGGGGGGGGGAGGGGGAGGGAAAGGGGGAGGGTGAAGCCTCCTGAAACACCACTCTCACCAGGTGCGCCACCTCGGGTCCCTGCCAGAACTCGTCCGGATTGAAATAGGTCTGCACTGCCAGACTGTTTAGCAGCCTGCAGCCAAACAGCCAGGGAGGGGGAAGGGTGAAAGTGGAGAGGGGGAAGAGGGGAAGGGGGCAGGGGGGGAAGGGGAGGTGGGGAAAGAGGAAGAGAGAGGGGGAGGAGAGAAGGTTCGAAGATGTCGTGCAGCCCTCTCAAGTTTCAAAACTTCAACGCGACAGCATTGCGGAAGCCACGAGGAACCTGCTTCGTTGCACCCGTAGTCTCTGCTGACCTGAACGCGAGAAGCGCGAGGAAGAGGCCTTTCGGAGGCCCAACGGTCGATTTGTTAGATGTCTCAAATTTCATCGCACCCATCGTTTTGCTGACCTGAACGTGAGCTGCGCGAGAGGAAGAGGCCCTTCGGAGGCCCAATGGTCGGTGGCATTTTTTCAGTCGACTACTAAAAAACCGGCAGAAATTTCGTTTAACGTGTCGTTTCTGCTGACCTGAACGCGAGAAGCGCGAGGAAGAGGCCTTTCGGCGGCCCAACGGTCGGCACGGTGGATTGGTGCTTAGAACCCATTGCGGCTGCTGACGACCGCGATGTCTTTTGAGCCGACTCAGGAGTCACCTCGGCCGGCGCTGTGGATTGCCGCTGCTTCGAACCCAGGTTTAGGGAGGACCGCGCTCGCTCGACGAACTTTTCGGCTATAGTAGCGGAAGGCTTACTACGTGGTATGTAATCAAGCCAGCTTGGCTTGTAGCGAGCGCGACGCTTGGCATGTGCGACAGCGCGGCGCGCGAGATGCGCATTTCAGGATGAATCGTGCGGCCGGCGAGATTCTACTATTCGGGGACTCATCTGGCACCACGGATAGACAGACATGAATCGCTTACTAGAAGAGAATTTAGCTAGAATCTGGATTCTGGAAAACACTGAGCCTCGCAGCTTAGAATGGCTGCTTGGGCGATGAAGCGAAAGAGAGTGGTCCTTGCGAATTCTGGAATACTGGAGATGTGATGTGATGTTCTGTTCGCAAGAGTTCGCCTGAGTTTACAGGTTTCAGGACACTGTATTTCAGGTTTCCGATTCGCACCTTCTAACCTCGCGGCAACCCTAGAAACCGTTCCCTACAAAAGCTCCATTTGTTCACCTGAAGTGTTTCGAACTCCCAATGCGGCACGCCCTAGAGCACTGGACAGAGCAAGGTAACCGTTGAATGGCAGTTCAGCCACGTGCGTTATAACCGTTGAATGATCGGGAGTCCAGACCAGACTGCGCTAACGCGTCTCCGCATAAGTCGCTCGAATTTAGCCGAATTCCCTGATCCCTGCGCAACGGCATCATTCGCTGCGATCGCCTCGCCTCTTTCCTCCATGAGGCGACGCCAGTCCATCTCCCTCCTCTCCGCGCATCTCCGCCGTCTACAGCAGCAGAACGGCCACGTGTCGTCATCCAATGCCGCGATTACCCTCGCATCGTCATTGCAGCCCTCCTTACAGCCGCCATCAGTCGCGTCTCCTCCAGAGCCAAGTCACGCAGCTACCTCGCCGTTCTTCGCGAACTTCGCGAGTAACCAGACTTTGCCATTCACGTCGTTGAATGTCGCACTAGAACTTCCTTCGTCGCATTCGCCAGTGCCAAGTCACAAATCCATCTCCCCACCGCAATTCGCGCTCACCCGGACGCGCAGAAGTCTCCATTCATCCGCCGTACCATGGCCGCCCAGAGCGTGCTCCCGATCGACGGCTGTCAGCGTCTCCCCAGTTGACGGACGGTCAGATGCGGCTCTCGATCCTGGCAGGGCGCGCCGATGGCTGCGAGGGCCAGCAAAAGCGGGATCTGAGCTGCTGTTGAGACCGAATCAGCCGTTCCTGCTGTCTGCTAGTTTCTCTACCGATGGTGGGTCATGCTGCAGTCTTCTATTTCGGGTCGAGCTGACTCACAAGTCGCCGCTTCTCACTCATGATGCATTTTCCCCTTTTCAACCCTCCACGCCATTGCTTTCTGTTTTTTTTTTTTTTTTTTTTTTTTTTTTTTTTTTTCTTTTCTAAAAAAACCGAGCTGACTCACAAGTCACCGCTCGTCACTCATGATGCATTTTCCCCTTTTCAAGCGGGATCTGAGCTGCTGTTTCCACGCCATCGCTTTCTTCCCGATTCCTCCCCTCCTTCCCTCCTCCTCGTCTCCTCGTTTGTCGTTTTCAGCGTCCTCCACCACGCCACCGCCACCCGTGATGCCGGTCGAGTTAGCAGCAGTGGTGGAGAGGCGCCTCTCTGCCGTCTTGGCCCGCCACCAGCAGCTGGAGGAGTTGCTCTCCCAGGTCAGGCGCTATCTCATCTGAGGTGCTTCTTTCGAATGCTATCTTAGGGGAAGGTGTTATCTGGCGTAGTGCATGATGCTATCTGTGGTTTTGTTCAAGAGAGGTGTTACCTGGTGTCTGGTCTCGCCACCTACCCGCAGGAGGAGCTGCCCTCTAGTGTGAGGCTCTTGCTGATAGGCTGGGTGAGGCAAGGCAAAGTGTGCAAAGTTGCCCCTGGGTGGAGGGTTCAAGGTTTAGGGTGCAGCTGCTGGCGAGGATTGATCAAGGCTGCTGCTGTTCAGTGCATGGCATTTGATTGCCACACTTCCCCACTCGACTCACTTTCCCAGCTTGTTGACCGAACTCAAAGGCTAGAATCGAGCGATGAAGCTGTTGTTCAGTGCGGTGCAGTGCAGTGCAGTGCAGTGCCAGTGCAGTGAAGTGCTCTTTTTCGTTGCTCCTCTCCACCGCTTCGGTCACTTTCCCTGCCTGATTTCCCTGCCACCCCAGCCTGACACGTCACCAGACGACCTGGCGAGAGCAGGCAAGGAGATGAGCGATCTGGCGCCAGCTGTCGCAATCGCACTGGAGCTGCAGAAGAAGACAAAGGTAATCCTTGGGAATGTGGTGGCTAGCTGCTGGGTAAATTCTAATCATCCCCAAGAAGCAGCAGGGGTACAAAGCACTGTGCCCTTTGAGGTCCGCTGCATGCCATGGTGTGTTGCTGTTCAAGGCTTTAGCACAACATTTGCTTTTCAATCTGTCAAGGTAATTCATTGTGCCACTTTTTCGGCCCTCAGGAGCTAGAAGACTTGCACGCCCTACTAAAGGGACAAGGGCAACCTTATAATGAGGACAAAGATACGAAGGGAGGGAAGACAGAAGGAGGCAGGGAGGCGGATGAGGAGGACGAGGAGCTGCGAGCGATGGCGTGGGAAGAGATCGGGGTGGTGAGGGGGGAGAGGCAGGCACTGCTGCGGAGTGCAGTGAGGCGGATACTACCAAAGGACGAGGCGGACAGCCGAGGATGCATTGTGGAAGTGCGAGCAGGTGAGGTGAGACGCGGATGGTGTTTGTTGGTTGCTGTCAGCCGAGCTCTAGTGCAGTGAGGATGTTTGGGTGGTGGGTGGGAAGAGAAAGGTGAGGCGAATCCTGCCACGGGACGAGGCGGACCGGAGAGGATGCATTGTGGAGTGGAGGTGCGAGCAGATGAGAGGTGAGATGCGGGTAGTTGGTAGTTATGCTTGTGCACAGCGGAGGATGCGATTTGTTTGACCTGCTCAGCTGTCAGAGAAGGTCAAACGTGATTTGATATTTTGTTGCGCTCTGCCCACGCCCCGTTTGACCTGCTCTGGTTTTTTATAACCCGAAATGTTATCCTCCTCATTCTCTCCACCTTATCTCCCCCTTCATTGCAATACAACTTGTGTGTGCATACAGGCACAGGTGGAGACGAGGCAGCCCTCTTTGCTGCTAATGTGTTCAACATGTAAGCAATGTGCTAAATCGATCACGTCACAATGAGGTGAATATGACTAGTGGCGCGCTGTCACGTCCTCTGCAGGTAATCAAGCTGGTAATTGGGCCGTGAAAAAAGGTATACTGACTAAAGGTACACTGATTAAAAGGTATACTGACTAAAGGTACACTGATTAAAAGGTATTCTGACTAAAGGTGCACTGATTAAAAGGTAGGGTTGACTAAAGGTACACTGATTAAAAGGTATACTGACTAAAGGTACACTGATTAGAAGGTACACTGAATTAAGGTATACTGATTGAAGATATACTGAATGAAGGTATACTGAATAAAGGTATTCTGAATAAAGGTATTCTTCTGACTAAAGGTACACTGATGTAAAGGTACACTGAATAAAGGTATACTGATTGAAGGTATGCTGAATATGACCGTGATGGTTTGCACGGGCTGATTGGATGTTGATAGCGCCGTCAACCCCGAACCCTGGTTCTTACCATCAAGAACCATGACTCTTTTGAACCAAGCCCTCTGCTGGAGTGATTATGTGTTTAAGACTCAGCTTTTATCGCAGTTATGAGCGGTCTGCTTCACGTGTATGGTGTGATGTGATGTTATGGTGTGTGGTTTGGTGTGATGTGATGTTATGGTGTGTGGTTTGGTGTGATGTGATGTTATGGTGTGTGGTTTGGTGTGATGTGATGTTATGGTGTGTGGTTTGGTGTGATGTGATGTTATGGTGTGTGGTTTGGTGTGATGTGATGTTATGGTGTGTGGTTTGGTGTGATGTGATGTTATGGTGTGTGGTTTGGTGTGATGTGATGTTATGGTGTGTGGTTTGGTGTGATGTGATGTTATGGTGTGTGGTTTGGTGTGATGTGATGATGTTATGGTGTGTGGTTTGGTGTGATGTGATGTTATGGTGTGTGGTTTGGTGTGGTGTGATGTGATGTTATGGTGTGTGGTTTGGTGTGATGTGATGTTATGGTGTGTGGTTTGGTGTGATGTGATGTTATGGTGTGTGGTTTGGTGTGATGTGATGTTATGGTGTGTGGTTTGGTGTGATGTGATGTTATGGTGTGTGGTTTGGTGTGATGTGATGTTATGGTGTGTGGTTTGGTGTGATGTGATGTTATGGTGTGTGGTTTGGTGTGATGTGATGTTATGGTGTGTGGTTTGGTGTGATGTGATGTTATGGTGTGTGGTTTGGTGTGACGTCATCTGATACTATGTTATGCGTGTGTAATGTGGTATGAGGGGATGCAATGTGGTGTGAGGGGGTATGGCGCGGTTGCCATCGCAGGTACCAGCGGTTTTGCTCTAAACGAGGGTGGCAGTTTGAGGTTCTAGACGTCACAGAGATTGAAAAGGGCGGATACAAGGTGAGGATTGGGGCAATAGGAGGCGCATTGAAGAGAGTGTAAGGGTTGTCGGTTAGTACAGTGCAGAGCGGTGCAGTACAATGCAAATGGTACAGATCGGTGCTGATGGTTGCAGATGGATGGAGAGAGTGAGTGCACACAGGGAGTACAGGGAGCACAGGGAGCAAGGGGTAACAGCCACAGAGAAGGCAGGCAGGGTACAAACGAGCGTGTTTGGGTCAACCAACCTCTCCTCTCCTCCTCCCCTGCTGCATTGTTCCTTCCTTCCCCCCACCTTACCCTGTTCCCCACAGGAAGCCAGTGCGAGTGTGTCAGGGGAGGGGGTGTTTGGGAGCCTCAAGTGGGAGAGTGGCGTGCACAGGGTGCAGCGGGTACCAGCTACAGAGAAGGCAGGCAGGGTGCATACCAGTGCTGCTACCGTGGCTGTGCTGCCCCAGGCTGATGAGGTGAGCGCTTTTATGAAGGTGCAGAGCAGTGCAGAGTGGCTCAGTGGGGTGCAAAGGGGTGCCGAGGGGTGCGGAGGCAGCACAGGGTGCCGAGGGCACCAGCTACAGAGAAGGCAGGCAGGGTGCATACGAGTGCTGCTACCGTGGCTGTGCCGCCCCAAGCAGACGAGGTGAGCGGTGCAGTGTAGAGGGTACCCAGAGAGCACAGGGTGCAGAGGGTACGTACCAGCCACAGAAAAGGCAGGCAGGGTGCGCACGAGTGTGGTTTTGCTGTGCAGGTGGACGTTCTAATCAGGCAGGAGGATCTGCACATCGACACGTACTGCAGCGGGGGCTGTGGAGGGCAGTCGGTGAACCATCTTTGAGGCATCATGAGCCCAGCTTCATTGGTGCGTGTGTGTGTGTGTGTGTGTGTGTGTGTGTGCGTGTGTGCGTGCGTGCGTGTGTGTGTGTGTATGTGTGTGTGTGTGTGTGTGTTTCTGTGTGTGTCGCCCTTGCAGGTGGACGTGTCCATCAGGCAGGAGGATGTGCGCATTGATACATACCGCAGGGGGGGGGGGCGGGGGTGTGGAGGGCAGGCAGTGGACCGACCTTGAGGCATTATTAACCTGGCTGTATTGGTGTGTGCTTGCATGGATGCATGCAGGTGGACGTGTCAATCAGGCAGGAGGATCTGCGAATCGACACGTACCGCAGCGGCGGGTGTGGAGGGCAGTCGGTGAACACGACCAACAGCGCCGTGCGCATCACCCACTTGCCGTCGGGGCTTGTTGTCGCTATTCAGGACGAACGGTCTCAACACATGGTGAGAGGCAAGGAGATGAGACGAGGAGGCCATTGGAGGGCAGTCGGTGAACACAATGAACAGTGCCGTGCGCATCACCCACTTGCCATCTGGGCTGGTGGTGGCCATTCAGGACGAACGCTCTCAACACATGGTGAGGAAGATAGCACCCAGCTGGGGTGAAGAGGGGTGAGGAGAGGGAAGGAGGGAAGGAGGCAAGGAGGTGAACACGAGGAGGTGAAGACGAGGAGGTGAACACGAGGAGGTGAACACGAGGAGGTGAACACGAGGAGGTGAACACGAGGAGGTGAACACGAGGAGGTGAACACGAGGAGGTGAACACGAGGAGGTGAACACGAGGAGGTGAACACGAGGAGGTGAACACGAGGTGGGGTGAAGAAAGGTAGAAGGGGGGGAGGAGATGAGAGGAGACCCAAAATGGACGAGAGGGGAGGAGAGGAGAGAAGAGCAGAGCAGAGGAGACGAGAGGAGTAATTGACGTCAACTTTCACCCACACTTCCACGTGTAGTGAGTCGATTTTTGAGTCGACTCAAAAATCAACTTTCACCCACACTTCCACGTGTAGTGAGTCGATTTTTGAGTCGACTCAAAAATCAACTTTCACCCACACTTCCACGTGTAGTGAGTCGATTTTTGAGTCGACTCAAAAATCAACTTTCACCCCACACTTCCACGTGTAGTGAGTCGATTTTTGAGTCGACTCAAAAATCAACTTTCACCCACACTTCCACGTGTAGTGAGTCGATTTTTGAGTCGACTCAAAAATCAACTTTCACCCACACTTCCACGTGTAGTGAGTCGATTTTTGAGTCGACTCAAAAATCAACTTTCACCCACACTTCCACGTGTAGTGAGTCGATTTTTGAGTCGACTCAAAAATCAACTTTCACCCACACTTCCACTCGTCTGCAACATTCTCGGCATGGCTATGGCACTGACGTTTGCTGAAGTCTACTCCTCTGTCCCACGCCTTTTCCCCGCTTCTCCCCCGTGCCTGCCTCCTCCCCTCCCTCCCCGCCAACTCCCCCCACCCCCCAAACTTGCTTGTCCCAAGGGACAGGGCCAGGGCGCTCCAGGTGCTGAGAGATTTTCTTTTTTTGAGGCGCCTCAAAAGTTTTCTTTTTTTGAGGCGCCTCAAAAGTTTTCTTTTTTTGAGGCGCCTCAAAAGTTTTCTTTTTTTGAGGCGCCTCAAAACTCCAGGTGCTGAGAGATTTTCCTCTCTCTTGCGCTCCTTATCTGCGCTGTCCCCCTCCACTTCTCCACATCAAGCTATGAAGTGCCTAAAATATACTCATCTGTGCTGCTCCCCCTCCCCTTGTCCACTTCTCTCACTCCCACAGAACAAGGCCAAGGCGCTCAAGGTGCTGAGAGCGAGGCTGTTCGACCTGCAGAGGAAGCAGGCGGAGGCGTCTCGATCGCAGCTGAGACATGGGCAGGTGAGGCGTGGGCTTCTGGGTGGGTGACGGAGGGGCATGTGGGGGTGAGTTTTGGGACGCCTCAAAAGGTGCTGAGAGTGCGGTTGTTTGGCCTGCAGAGGAAGTAGGCTGAGAGGTGTTCCGGTCTCAGCTGAGACATAGGCAAGTGAGAGATGCACGGGAAAATGAGGCATGGGCAGGTGAGAGATGCACGGGCAAATGAGGCATGGGCAGGTGAGGAACGGGCAGGTGTGAGCGTGAAGGGCGTGTTCCTTGTGTCCCTGCTCCGATTCTTCCGGCAATGCAAGCGATCGAGTCTGGGTTTCACCCTGCACTCACCACAATAGTGTTCCGTGATCCTTATTGCTGCCCTCCCATCCTCCCTCCCTCCCGTCCTCCCTCCTTCCCATCCTTATTGCTGCCCTTTCATTCTGATTCCAGATCGGCTCTGGCGATCGCTCAGAGCGAATCCGCACGTACAACTTCCCCCAGGGCCGAATCACGGACCACCGCGTGGGGGTCACGCTGCACTCGCTGCCGCAGGTGTGAATTGGATTGGTTGCAAGCGGGTGTAGGCATGTCATATCGATGCGTTCTTGATGTGCTCTGAGCTCTCTAGCTCCATATTCATATTCATATTCATATTCATATTCATATTCATATTCATATTCATATTCATATTCATATTTATAATCAGATTCATATTCATATTTATAATCATATTCATATTCATATTCATCTTCATATTAGTATTCATATTCATATTCATTCTTGAAGAGGGTGACAAAAGCTGCAGTGGAGACGGAGGGCATGGAGGTGATCATAGAGGGGACTGGAAGCACCAGCAACGGAGACCTTGCTTTTCACTGCTCCCAGTGCAACCAAGAGTGAAATAAACGCCTCCAAGTTTCTCCTCTCCTCGTGGTTCCGCTGTTCCCTCCTCTGTTCTCAACTCTACTCTTTGCCACCACAGGGCTACAGGGCGAGGGTCTGAAGGCGTTTATAGAAAGGAGCTGGAGGGAGCAGCAGAGAAGGACCTCCCCCCCCCTCCCCCTCCTCCCTCCCTTCCTCACATCCCTCTTCGCCTCGTCCCTCCGCCCGTCCCGATGTTTGAGGCACCTCAAAAATGGAGGGAGCAGCAGAGAAGGACCTTCCCCCTCCCCTCCCCAACAGGTGCTGCAAGGGGAGGGCTTGGAAGCGTTTATAGAGGTGCTGGAGGCAGCAGTAGAGAAGTACCACTTTCTGTCCCCTCCCCTCCTTTCTGTCCCCCCGCCCTCCTTGCCTAATTTTATACTCCCCAGGTGCTACAGGGCGAGGGCCTGGAGGCGTTTATAGAGGCGCTGGAGGCAGCAGCAGAGAAGGCACCCTCTCATCCCCCTCCTCCCTCTCTGCCTCCGCCCGTCTACTCCCCCTGCCCCCCAGGTGCTCCAAGGCGAGGGCCTGGAGGCGTTTATAGAGGCGCTGGAGGCAGCAGCAGAGAAGGAAGCGATCGATGGCCTGGCCAAGGCAGGGTAGGTGGACGGAGCTGTGTGGATGGAGGTGGTGCAGCTGAAACTGGGGCACCTGAAACTGGGGCAGCTGCTGGGGCAGCTGTTATTGGGGCAGCTGAAACTGGGGCACCTGAAACATTAGGTGGCCGTATGTAGTCTCACATCCAATGTCGCACTGTGCCTCCTTAGAGCCTCGACCCGATATGTTATGGACTGTAGAGCCATCGCTACACAGAGCAGGGCATATCATGCTCAGGTGGAATGAAGAGAGCACAGGCTGTCCTGACTATCATCCTTATTATCACACAATGTTGTGTAGTGTCCTGTGTCCTGTGTCCTGTGTTCTGGCTTGATTCAATGAATCTCTTGTGTACTGCACTGAGTTAAACCAGCAGCATTCTCTGTCAAAAAACAAGAAAGAACGGTAGACTCGCCGAAGCAATAATAACTAAAGTGCCTGTGCGTGCGAAAAGACTAAGATTATCAGTCAACAATAACACGGACACATTTGCATGCGCTACCTCCTCCCTCTCGACCTCTTCCCCTTCCCTCTCCCTTTCCCTCTCGATCCCTTCCTCTTCCCCTTCCCCCCTCCCCCTCTTTTCCTCCCCCCCCACCCCCCCACCAATCCCACCCAAATCCTTATCCCCAATCACCCCTCCGCCCTTCCGCCCGCCCCCATCCCCTCCAATCTTCCACAGCCTCGGATCCACATGCAACACTTCGCCTTGGCCCATCTGAGGCCTTCAGGCCGAAGCTTTTAGTCCTATCTCCTCCGCCCGCCAGCCAACACCCGCCAATCAGTCTGAGCCTTGCATGTGTGTTTTGAGACGTCTCAAAACAGTCTGAGCCTCGCATGTGTGTTTTGAGACGTCTCAAAACAGTCTGAGCCTTGCATGTGTGTTTTGAGACGTCTCAAAACAGTCTGAGCCTTGCATGTGTGTTTTGAGACGTCTCAAAACAGTCTGAGCCTCGCATGTGTGTTTTGAGACGTCTCAAAACAGTCTGAGCCTTGCATGTGTGTTTTGAGACGTCTCAAAACAGTCTGAGCCTTGCATGTGTGTTTTGAGACGTCTCAAAACAGTCTGAGCCTTGCATGTGTGTTTTGAGACGTCTCAAAACAGTCTGAGCCTTGCATGTGTGTTTTGAGACGTCTCAAAACAGTCTGAGCCTTGCATGTGTGTTTTGAGACGTCTCAAAACAGTCTGAGCCTTGCATGTGTGTTTTGAGACGTCTCAAAACAGTCTGAGCCTTGCATGTGTGTTTTGAGACGTCTCAAAACAGTCTGAGCCTTGCATGTGTGTTTTGAGACGTCTCAAAACAGTCTGAGCCTTGCATGTGTGTTTTGAGACGTCTCAAAACAGTCTGAGCCTTGCATGTGTGTTTTGAGACGTCTCAAAACAGTCTGAGCCTTGCATGTGTGTTTTGAGACGTCTCAAAACAGTCTGAGCCTTGCATGTGTGTTTTGAGACGTCTCAAAACAGTCTGAGCCTCGCATGTGTGTTTTGAGACGTCTCAAAACAGTCTGAGCCTCGCATGTGTGTTTTGAGACGTCTCAAAACAGTCTGAGCCTTGCATGTGTGTTTTGAGACGTCTCAAAACAGTCTGAGCCTTGCATGTGTGTTTTGAGACGTCTCAAAACAGTCTGAGCCTCGCATGTGTGTTTTGAGACGTCTCAAAACAGTCTGAGCCTCGCATGTGTGTTTTGAGACGTCTCAAAACAGTCTGAGCCTTGCATGTGTGTTTTGAGACGTCTCAAAACAGTCTGAGCCTTGCATGTGTGTTTTGAGACGTCTCAAAACAGTCTGAGCCTTGCATGTGTGTTTTGAGACGTCTCAAAACAGTCTGAGCCTTGCATGTGTGTTTTGAGACGTCTCAAAACAGTCTGAGCCTTGCATGTGTGTTTTGAGACGTCTCAAAACAGTCTGAGCCTTGCATGTGTGTTTTGAGACGTCTCAAAACAGTCTGAGCCTTGCATGTGTGTTTTGAGACGTCTCAAAACAGTCTGAGCCTTGCATGTGTGTTTTGAGACGTCTCAAAACAGTCTGAGCCTTGCATGTGTGTTTTGAGACGTCTCAAAACAGTCTGAGCCTTGCATGTGTGTTTTGAGACGTCTCAAAACAGTCTGAGCCTCGCATGTGTGTTTTGAGACGTCTCAAAACAGTCTGAGCCTCGCATGTGTGTTTTGAGACGTCTCAAAACAGTCTGAGCCTTGCATGTGTGTTTTGAGACGTCTCAAAACAGTCTGAGCCTTGCATGTGTGTTTTGAGACGTCTCAAAACAGTCTGAGCCTCGCATGTGTGTTTTGAGACGTCTCAAAACAGTCTGAGCCTTGCATGTGTGTTTTGAGACGTCTCAAAACAGTCTGAGCCTTGCATGTGTGTTTTGAGACGTCTCAAAACAGTCTGAGCCTTGCATGTGTGTTTTGAGACGTCTCAAAACAGTCTGAGCCTTGCATGTGTGTTTTGAGTCGTCTCAAAACAGTCTGAGCCTTGCATGTGTGTTTTGAGACGTCTCAAAACAGTCTGAGCCTCGCATGTGTGTTTTGAGACGTCTCAAAACAGTCTGAGCCTCGCATGTGTGTTTTGAGACGTCTCAAAACAGTCTGAGCCTTGCATGTGTGTTTTGAGACGTCTCAAAACAGTCTGAGCCTTGCATGTGTGTTTTGAGACGTCTCAAAACAGTCTGAGCCTCGCATGTGTGTTTTGAGACGTCTCAAAACAGTCTGAGCCTCGCATGTGTGTTTTGAGACGTCTCAAAACAGTCTGAGCCTTGCATGTGTGTTTTGAGACGTCTCAAAACAGTCTGAGCCTTGCATGTGTGTTTTGAGACGTCTCAAAACAGTCTGAGCCTTGCATGTGTGTTTTGAGACGTCTCAAAACAGTCTGAGCCTTGCATGTGTGTTTTGAGACGTCTCAAAACAGTCTGAGCCTTGCATGTGTGTTTTGAGACGTCTCAAAACAGTCTGAGCCTTGCATGTGTGTTTTGAGACGTCTCAAAACAGTCTGAGCCTTGCATGTGTGTTTTGAGACGTCTCAAAACAGTCTGAGCCTTGCATGTGTGTTTTGAGACGTCTCAAAACAGTCTGAGCCTTGCATGTGTGTTTTGAGACGTCTCAAAACAGTCTGAGCCTTGCATGTGTGTTTTGAGACGTCTCAAAACAGTCTGAGCCTCGCATGTGTGTTTTGAGACGTCTCAAAACAGTCTGAGCCTCGCATGTGTGTTTTGAGACGTCTCAAAACAGTCTGAGCCTCGCATGTGTGTTTTGAGACGTCTCAAAACAGTCTGAGCCTCGCATGTGTGTTTTGAGACGTCTCAAAACAGTCTGAGCCTTGCATGTGTGTTTTGAGACGTCTCAAAACAGTCTGAGCCTTGCATGTGTGTTTTGAGACGTCTCAAAACAGTCTGAGCCTTGCATGTGTGTTTTGAGACGTCTCAAAACAGTCTGAGCCTTGCATGTGTGTTTTGAGACGTCTCAAAACAGTCTGAGCCTTGCATGTGTGTTTTGAGACGTCTCAAAACAGTCTGAGCCTTGCATGTGTGTTTTGAGACGTCTCAAAACAGTCTGAGCCTTGCATGTGTGTTTTGAGACGTCTCAAAACAGTCTGAGCCTTGCATGTGTGTTTTGAGACGTCTCAAAACAGTCTGAGCCTTGCATGTGTGTTTTGAGACGTCTCAAAACAGTCTGAGCCTTGCATGTGTGTTTTGAGACGTCTCAAAACAGTCTGAGCCTTGCATGTGTGTTTTGAGACGTCTCAAAACAGTCTGAGCCTTGCATGTGTGTTTTGAGACGTCTCAAAACAGTCTGAGCCTTGCATGTGTGTTTTGAGACGTCTCAAAACAGTCTGAGCCTTGCATGTGTGTTTTGAGACGTCTCAAAACAGTCTGAGCCTTGCATGTGTGTTTTGAGACGTCTCAAAACAGTCTGAGCCTTGCATGTGTGTTTTGAGACGTCTCAAAACAGTCTGAGCCTTGCATGTGTGTTTTGAGACGTCTCAAAACAGTCTGAGCCTTGCATGTGTGTTTTGAGACGTCTCAAAACAGTCTGAGCCTTGCATGTGTGTTTTGAGACGTCTCAAAACAGTCTGAGCCTTGCATGTGTGTTTTGAGACGTCTCAAAACAGTCTGAGCCTTGCATGTGTGTTTTGAGACGTCTCAAAACAGTCTGAGCCTTGCATGTGTGTTTTGAGACGTCTCAAAACAGTCTGAGCCTTGCATGTGTGTTTTGAGACGTCTCAAAACAGTCTGAGCCTTGCATGTGTGTTTTGAGACGTCTCAAAACAGTCTGAGCCTTGCATGTGTGTTTTGAGACGTCTCAAAACAGTCTGAGCCTTGCATGTGTGTTTTGAGACGTCTCAAAACAGTCTGAGCCTTGCATGTGTGTTTTGAGACGTCTCAAAACAGTCTGAGCCTTGCATGTGTGTTTTGAGACGTCTCAAAACAGTCTGAGCCTTGCATGTGTGTTTTGAGACGTCTCAAAACAGTCTGAGCCTTGCATGTGTGTTTTGAGACGTCTCAAAACAGTCTGAGCCTTGCATGTGTGTTTTGAGACGTCTCAAAACAGTCTGAGCCTTGCATGTGTGTTTTGAGACGTCTCAAAACAGTCTGAGCCTTGCATGTGTGTTTTGAGACGTCTCAAAACAGTCTGAGCCTTGCATGTGTGTTTTGAGACGTCTCAAAACAGTCTGAGCCTTGCATGTGTGTTTTGAGACGTCTCAAAACAGTCTGAGCCTTGCATGTGTGTTTTGAGACGTCTCAAAACAGTCTGAGCCTTGCATGTGTGTTTTGAGACGTCTCAAAACAGTCTGAGCCTTGCATGTGTGTTTTGAGACGTCTCAAAACAGTCTGAGCCTTGCATGTGTGTTTTGAGACGTCTCAAAACAGTCTGAGCCTTGCATGTGTGTTTTGAGACGTCTGAAAACAGTCTGAGCCTTGCATGTGTGTTTTGAGACGTCTCAAAACAGTCTGAGCCTTGCATGTGTGTTTTGAGACGTCTCAAAACAGTCTGAGCCTTGCATGTGTGTT